TAATTTGTGTACAATGAGATACCATTTAAAGTGCATCGGTTAGTGAGTTATCTACCTTCTGTCATCATTGATTAGTTTTGCCACGTCTACAATTTTATGTAAATGGATCCAGAGGGTATGTTGTCCTTTGTGTCGGACTTTTTTGACTCAGCACAGTGACTCTGAGATTCGTACGTGTTGCTGCACGCATTCGTGGTCTGTTCCTCGGATGGTGAGTAGTCCCCATTGTGAGGTGATACCGCTCTTTGTTTCTCTTTGCTGCCATTGGCCATTTGGGTTGAGTCCAGTTTGTGCCTCTTATGAATAGAACACACTTGCACAAGTCTTTTTGTGGACATGTGTTTTCATGCCTTTGGGGTAGAGAGGAGTAAAATGGCTGCATCATATTATAGGTTTAACTTTAGAAGTCAGCAGGCCCTACTCTCAAGTGCTTAGGCCAGTTTCCCTCCTGCTCACCACAGTATGGGAGCTCCTGGTGCTACACACGCTCACAGACCTTTGTGCTACTAGCCGTTTTCATTTTGGCAGTTCTAGAAGGTACAGCGTGGTGGTCTCTTTGTGGTTTGCATTTCCTGAGGACTAAGGATGCTGAGCACCTGTCCAAGTTCTTACTGACCATTATATTTCCTTTTTTGTGAAGTGTCTACATCTTTTGTTAATTAACAACAAAAAGGTTGCCTGTCTCTTTATTATTGAACATAGGAGTTCTTTGTATATTCTGGCTACAAGTCCTTTTTTTGTACACTGTGAATATTTTCTTCTAGTCTCTGGTCTGCCTTTTCATTTACATAGTGGTATCTTTTAGAAATCAGAAGTTTTGATTTTTGTGAAGAGTCAGTATTTTTTTTCTTCTGAGTATTCTTTGTGTCCTAAGAAATTTTAGCATTTCTTTTATTCTGAACAACTGAGCCCCTTTTCTTAGGTTTAAGGGCTGTTTGCCTATCTTTTTCTGGGGACTGTCCATGTATTCTACTTAAAATAGAGTCCTTTTATTGCTCTTTCTCTTCTTGATTTGTAAGAGCTATTTGTATATTAGGGAGATTAGCCTTTTATGGGCTGAAGTGGTATTTTCTCCCACTTTGTTCTCTTTCCAACTTTGCATGTAGTTTTTCTGTGCAAAATTGCACACATGTGTTTTCACATAATCCATTGTATCTGTTTTATTGCTTATAGATTTAAGGCCATAGGCTCCTCACTCCCAGGTTATAAAGGAATTCACTGATGTTTGTTTTGTACAGTTTCACTGTCGTACATTTAGATCAGTTCCATTTGGAGTGGATTCCAATGTACAGTGAAGCATGGAATCAATTTTATCTTTTTGCAAATGACTATCCAGCTGTCCCCATATCATCTATTAAAAAATCCGTCTTTTTCTAATGATTTGTGATCACCTTATCATTAAGATACTAAGTTTCCGTATGTACTTAGATGTTCTCTTCTGTTGTCTCTGGACTCAAGTCTTGCCATGGGCCCATCTGTCTGTTGCCATGGTGACGCACGCAATCCTCTTCTAAGTTGTTGGCTTTATGACCTGCTTGAACACAGAGCAAGGGAACCTCCTTAGCGTTTATCTTCACCAAAGTTTTCCTAGACATCTTTGCTTATTTATGTTTTCCCCATAAACCTTAGAACCAGCTTGTCTAGCTCCAGAAAAGATACTTGTTGCTTTTTTTCAAGTGGAGATTCTGGTAAATCTCTATATGGATTTGGGTGAACCTGACCCGTTTCTTGCTGCTGAGTCTCCCTGTGTGCACACGGGAGAACTTTCTCCGTTGGTTCCAGTGTGCTTTTCATAAGGCCCTGGCAAGGACTGCTGTGGGGCTGAGCTGACGGGGTTTTTTCATTTGGATGTTATACATTTAATGTAGGTTTATTCCCTAGGAATTTGTTTTTTATCACTCTTATAATGGGTTCTTCTCTCTCACTGTTTTCCAACTGGCTGCCGTTTGCATATCTGAAGGTAGACTTGGTTGTTGGTCATTTTATACCTTACTATCTTCTGAATATTGTCTTTATTCATCTCTTGGATTTTCTGGGTGTACTTGCATATCATCTGCAAAAAGAGATCATTTATCTCTTCCTTAGGGTATGAACATTTTTAAAGCTTTGTGTTATATATTGCCAAATCTCTTCTTTTGAAAAATATGGTACCAATTTATGTTCCTGCTGGAAGTGTTTTGCCACTCCCTTGCCAGCACTATCAACATTTTTTAAATCTTTGCCAGTTTTAATACAGCCTTCATTCATTACAAAGAGGATGTTCATGGGGTCCCTTGTCCGTCAGGCACTTTGAGGAAGGCTAAGGTCACAGCATTCCTCCCCACCCTGAGGCCTTATTCTAGGGTGAGATGAGACTAAAGTTTTTTTTTTTTTTCTCCTCCAGCTTTACTGAAGAATAGCTGAAAAATAATGTGTACACATTTAGGTTTTACAAAGTACTGATTTAATATACATTATGAAATGATTGACACCATGAGATTAATTACCATATCCATCCCCTCACATGGTGTGTGTGTGTGTGTGTGTGTGTGTGTGTGTGTGTGTGTAGAACACTTAAGATCTATTCTCTAGGCAAATTTCAAGTATATAGTATTTTTAAGTGTAATCACCATGTGTACATAGGATCTCCAGAACATACTCCTCTTACAACTGAAGGTTTGTACCCTTTGGCCAACATCTCATTTCCCCCAGTTCCTGGCAACCACCTATCTGCTCTCTGGTTCTCTGAGTTCAGCATTTTTAGATTCTACCTTTAAGTGAGTTCATATGGTTGTTGTCGAGGCCCAAGCTTCTGGAAGCTTACAATTAAGACTGCTGCCTTCCTGGGCCCAGCCTATGGGAAAAGGACTGGCTGCCCTAGTGGAGAAACCCATCTCAGGCCCAGAGAACTCTTTCTCGAAAATCCCTGAGCAGTTATAAGAAGTCCATTACCCACCACCCCTTCTGTAGAGCCCTGTCATAGTAAGCCCTTGGGGTGCCAGGAGCAAGGGGCAGAGCCCGTACCCCACCCAACCCTCCTCCCACTATGTGCAAACTTAGGGCCTGGTGCTGAGGACCCTTCCCCATCAAGGAGATGCAGATAGAGCCTCTGGAGCTCCTGCTCTTCCATTGTGCCCTTCCCTGGGCCCGACTCCCCCACCCCCCAATGTCCTTTAAAAAACCCCATCCATTCACAGAGGGCACTGCTTGTTGACATAGATGGCCCAGGCCCTGGCTGGCATCCCTCTCACCCCCAACAGGTTTTAGCGCCCCCCACACCAACCCTGGTCCCCTCCTTCATGCAGCCTGTCCCAGGCAGCCTTTGTTGTTCATGTAACCTTTGCCCACACACCTGTGCTCCCAGCTCTGTACCTGACTCGCTCTGCGATCCCAGGCGAGCATCTTACCTCTCTGAATTTGTCTCCCTCTGCACCTCCCGAGCTGTGCTGGAGTCAGGGAGGGCAAATTTGCATCAGCTCTGTGCAGCCATAGCCCGGGGGCCCGCCTCCACCAGGGGCTCCACCAGTGTGTGTTTACTGGATATCAGAGTGAAGGAACAGATGAGTCCCGGCAGTACAGCCCTCCGGGAACTGATTTTGCACCCAGGTGGTCTGGACCGGGGGATGTTCACATCCAGGGGCTCCGAAGGGCAGCCTCTACTTGGGATACAGCCACTCCATCCCACGCCTCCATCAAACCCCATCTGAGGGTCTAGGCCCTGGAGTCTATTTCAAGCCATGCTCTGGAGCAGCTTGGTGGGCAGCTGGGCCCCAAGAACGGCAGGACTGGTCTGATCTCACTCCGGTCCCGGACCCCAGCCCAGGCTCCTCCCCACCCCGTCCCTGCTCCTACAGGCATCTGGATCTTTGCTGGTGTATCTTGGGGACAGTAGGGTGTATGTAGAAAGGGGGGATGGGTGTGCAGCCCAGGCAGCTGGGACCTCAGGATAAAGGAAATTTCCTTCTCTCTATTTATTTTCCACATCCTTGACTTTGAAGGCCAAGCTGGTGTTGATATTTACCTTGGCCGGGCCTCCCCATCTCCCTGGGCCAGCCTCCTGTAAACATCATGTTCCTTCTCTCAGCTCTGCTAGGGTTGAGGTGGCCTTTTGCAACCAGTTCTAGGAATTTTGAAAGTTTGAATGCTTAAGTTCAGAGACCAGCCCCCTAGGGAGCCCAGGGTGCAAGGAGCCCCAGGGGCCGCTGTACTGGCCTCGGGCTCCCTCCCAGGGATCCGGACAGATGGCAGCAGAGAAAGAGGCAGTTGGGCAGGGCCTCCTCACTCCTCTTAACAGCGGTGATGCTGTGAGAGCCCCACTGTCCCCTTATTCATGCTGCCCGCCGAAGGTTGGCCCCCAAAGTTTTGGGCTCCCCAAAGACACACAGGGACAGAGGCAGGACCTGGCTGTCTCCCCTGGGACTGGTGGGCAGAGAGCTGATTCCCAAGGGCCAGCCGTCAGTCCTTGTCCCGTTGTGCCATCTGTAGTGCATTTGGCACCTGGACCACAGCTGACATGCTGCCCCGGGGGTGGGAGGCTGCTGAGGTGGGTAGCGTGTGCACAGGCATGTGGGGCCTCTGAGCAAGTGCACAGGCCAGAGTCCCAGCCGCGGGGGACCGTGAGGAGACAGGATTACTTGGATTAATTTGAGAGACAGGATGGGACAGGGGTCGGTGTGGCAGAAAAAAAAAGCGGGGCAGTGATGGCGCTGTGCGGTGGGCATCGGAGGTGAGGGACGCTCACAATCCCCACTCGGATCCCAGCACCCCAGGCCCCAGCCTGGCCGCCGTTCACTCAGCAGTGAGACCTCAGGCAAAAGACTTCGCTTCTGTGTGATTTGCTTTCATTATACAAGAACTGGGGTGTCTGTCCTTAGCAACAAGGGTGTTGTGAAGCACGCGGTGTGTCGTCTTCAAGTGGGAGCTGTCATTCTTTGCTTGCTCACACACCACACAGATTTGAGGCCACATCAGTGGGCACCACCAGCCATCTGGACACTGAATGTCTCCCCTTCTCCACACAGATCTGGGACATGAGCGACGATGAGACCGTATGACGTGGCCCACCCTCGCCGCCTGCTGAGGAACCCTTGGTTACTAGAACGGGACTGCTGCCCCCAGGACTGGTGATTCTGGGCCCTGCGCCCCCCCAACCTTTGTGGTCTCCTCCTCTGCATACCTTGAGGACCAGGGCCCCCGCTTCGCTGCCCAGGAGCATCTGGCGTTCTCCATTTCTCATGACTCATGATCCTACCAGTCTGAGCTGAATAATAACCTTGGCTTTGGCATTGCCCTTGATCTGGGACTTGGTTCCCTTCACGAGTTTTTTTTCTTGTTGTCAAATGTTTGATAGTCAAAACTCCCAGGATCCCACCAGCTTGGCCCCCATAGGGCGGTAGTAAGGACGGGGAACAGTGAGCCTAACACATGCCAAATGCAGGGCAGATGAGAGTCCCTGGGCTATTCTACAAACCCCAGAGAGGGGCCTCTGGGTACCAGTGAGGGCGGAGATCCTTGTAAACTCTGTCTGACCTGCTGGAGAGGGAGGAACATGCCGGACAGAAGGGCCCGCACCCATCCCACTGAACCCAGGACTCCAGCCAGTCCCGACAGAGTCTGCTACCCAGACGGTTCCTCCACCTCCTGGCCTATCCTCAGCTGTGGGCAAAACACCTGTGCCGCCCTGCCTCCCTGCTCAGGGGAGGAACAAAGTTGCTGCTGCTGCCTTGAACTGGTGGAAGGGCCACATCCTAGTAATGGCCTGGGTGGGCACCCCACCTGCCCGGAGGAGGCCTCACACCCCCAGAGCCCACTCCTCTACGGCCAAGGGAGGGAGACGCCTTCCCTCGAGGGCCCTCCTCAGTGGTACACGGAACGCCCTGACTGCAGTATGTGGTGGCCATCCGTGACACCCAGATCTGCACCTGAGAACTTGGGGGGGGGGGGGGGACAATCTCTCCCCACTTGTGATCTTGGGGCGTTCTCTTCTGCCTCAGGCCTGGGACCCAAGTCAACAGGGAGTCTGAAGGCTGACTCTGAGGCGGGGTTTCTGCAGGTCAGGTCGTGAATGGGGCTTCTTGGGGAGTTGGGAGCTACAGACGCTGTCTGCCCGCCTGCCTGGGGCAGAGGGGGTGCCGTTGGACGCAGGTGCAGGCCCGCTGTGCCGTCCCCGGGCCCGTTGGTCACACGCACAGCCTGTGGTTTAAGAGCACTTTATTATTGTTCTTAAGGCTACTTTTAAGTACAAAAAAAAGATGGCCTGCCAAACCTTTTTTTTCTCTTCTTCTTCCAGGAAAAACAGGCCACAGAGAATGGTATATTACAGATTTACAAACATGGAGAGAGAACGGTCAGAACGCACTGCGACGGCGTGGCTCTGAGAAGAACTCACTGTGCTCCTCCTGAGGCCAGGGAGTGTGTCCTTTCCCAGTGAAATGTTTGGTTTTCTGCTTCCCTGTGTGCCCGGGGCCCCTCCAGGGGCCCGCCTATCCCAGATAGGTCAGTGCCGGGCGCCGACAGGCCGCTGCCCAAGGAGCCCGCCCTTCCCAGAGCCCGCCAGCGGCGGCTGCTTTCCCGCCGCAGCGCTCAGTAGCCTGGAGCAATAACAAACTAGTGGCTATTAAGGCAGATGCAGTGTTCTCATAGAGTAACTGTGTTCCTGCACTTTTACAGACAAATCTACGACAAAAAAAAAAAAAAAGATCAACTTTTTTTTCCAAACAAAAAAAAATATGAATGATTACAATGGGAACGGGGAAATTAAATAGCTACATATCATTAACAAATTAATTGTTCTTCAAAAAATACCTACAAATTTCTCTGTACATTCTTTACGCACAGCGTAATGATGGTCTTAAAGTTACCTATATAAAAAAAGTGTTCTCACCGATTTTTCCTACAGAAAATATAGGGGCCCGAATGCGAAAGCCTGGAAGCCCAGTTATGTGGGGGTGAAATGTGTGCAGGGGCAAGAGGAGAAGGGCTTTTCTTCTGCCTGTGGAAAGACCTGCAGCCACCCTGGGACCACAAGAGCCGATCTGCTGACCTTTCTGCCCAGTGACAATTTTTACAATTAACCAGCTAACCTGTGTTTTTCTTATACAGAAAACCAGCCTCGAGGGCTCCCGGGCGTCCACAGTGCCTCACAGGGGAGGCGGGCGCACCTGTTGTCACCTGGCCAGGCAACTTTGTAAGCCCTCTGGTGGCATTCTAGAGGCTGGAACGGGCCGGGGGTGGGTGGGTGGGGGGGATAGAAATGTACATTTACCAAAAAGAGGAGCAGCTGTTGAACATCCACAGCTGTGTCCGTCATGCTTTCTTCTTCGCCTAATTTCTAGTTAGTAGCTATTACTCTAGCAAACGATAATAAATGCAGTGATAACTGTATAAAGTCAGAGGAATGTATACTGCCTTGGCCCCAGCGTACGAGGAAGCACACAAAATACCATATCACAGATTGTCAGTAATCTGTTCAGCCAAGAGGGTTGAAAGGGAGCAGTTTCTGCATGGAGGGAAGTTGGAAGACACAAACCCCAACTCCCCTGGTAGCTAGTAATAAGCAGACAGGGATGCAAAAAATAAACGTCAGCTGGCAGCCAAAACCTCCAGCATCCTACACGGCGGCTGACCCACGACTGGCCTGCCCGTCTCCAGGGCCTGCCAGCCCCACATGACTCAGGAGTAATGTGAATATCAAACAAATCTCAGAGTACAACTGTACCAGCAGTAAGTATATCTAGGACTGTAAATGACAAAAATAAACTAATTCTGAAAAGAAGCTAGTAAGTATTAAGGTTCTTGTTTACTATATCTATACAATTAATAGAAACCAGCTATTTTTCTCCATTAAAACATGCATCACGTTGAAAGCACTACAGAATCCTCCAACCTCAGCTCTAGTCTAACAAACTGCAGTGTTTAGGAAAGGGAGAATGCCCGTGATTGGTAGAGTCTGCAGTCCAGTTGCAAGCACCTGAAATCTAGAGAGAAAGACCTATAACCTGTATGAGACTTCCCCTTCCAAAGCTGTTTTGTCTAAATTTAAAAAAAACAAACAACACACAAATGGTCAGAAATGTCATCCTTAAACCCTTTGTTTTTCAGCAGTTTGCCCTCAGAGCACTAGCATCTCACAGAAAGCTGTCAGGCGGGCAACTTTCGCCTCCTCCAGTAGTGCAAATCAGACGCGACAGTTCTCTGTTCTCTTCAAGTAGATGCACGCACGCAGACGCACTCACATGCGGCCCGGACCAAACACGCAATGGAAGCGAAGCCACACACACACCCCGGTCTCGAGAAGCAAATGGAAAAGCACGAAGCATCTGGGTCACCAACGTCATGGCTTGTGACTGAGAAAGCGTGCGCCGTGGAGTCCTGGCCCCTGATGGGGCAGCAGACCTGCATCAGAGGTTTCTTTGGTAACTGAGGCAGGAAGGCAGGACGCTACGTTAGATGGTCCACGGGCAGCTCCCGGTATCGAGTTTGAGGCCCCCGGGTATGAATACCAAGCAAGTACGAAAACAGAACAAAAATCCAACGACATGGTTTTTGCGAATAAACCATCCCCTCCCTACCCTTCCCCCTACCCCACCCCGACAATTTTTTTTTTTGTTTTTGTGTTTTTTTTTAAGCACTGACTGTTCAAAGCTCAGGCAAACCATGCAGATTGACATCTTGTTTGAGGGTGGCGCTCCCTTCACGAGACCACAGAGGGGGAGTGACTGTGGCTGACCATGTGTGCGGAGGGGCTGGCCGGCTGGCCCCTGCGCGAGGCTGACTCGGGGCTGCTGGACGCGCCGTCCTTGGCCGCCTTGATCTGAAGCCACGTATCACCCAGGGCCTTGGCAAAGTGGTCGTCCACGGAGCCTGTGATGGACACTGAGTTGGGCGCTGGCTCAGGCTCCTTGTAGTTCTTGCCCAGGCTCCTGCGGAAGTGTTCCTCCACCACGGGGTCGCAGGTGGTGGTGGCTGTAGGGGAGGAGGATAGCAGTCAGTCAGGACTCTGGGGACAGAGGGCCTGTCCCCACCTGCCCTGGCTTGGCACTTGGCCAGGTCTCTCTTCTGAACCTTTAACATGGCAGCATGCCCACCTGAGCTAGGGATGAGTTCAGAGAGAAAACCTGGCCTTGATAATGGGAGATCTCGTCCCACTACATTTTCTTCCCCGGAGGTTTCTTCCCTCTGTTCCACTCAAGCCAGACACAATGCTGGGTGCATGTGTGCTCAAAACAAAACAAAAAACCCCAACACAAAACACTTTTTCAACCTCAATAAAAATACAAGCTCCAGAGGCTACTTGTTCTGTCCACAGCAACGTAGAAAGAATGCAAACACTCCACTTGAATCCTGTCCAAGGAGGAAGCCCGAGCCCCCACCCCAGCCGCCCCACGTGCAGGGTGACTTACAGCTCGGGGCCCTCCGGTAGCTGCCTGGCCCGGCCGCCACACAGCCGCTGTGCGCAATGGGACAGTGGGAGAGGTTGCAGTTGCGGGTGCTGGCCGAGGCGCACGTGATCACCGAAGGCCGGTTCTGGGGAGAAGAGGAGGCTGCTGTCAGCTCTGGCTTGGGAGGCCAGATAAGGAGCGGTGGTGCTCAGCCCTGCTGACGACCCCAGTCCTTATACACTTGCCACAGCTGGGACACAGAACAAGTCTCTGTCCCTCCACCACCACGGAGAGCACTCATCCTGCCTGCGAGGAGCCAGGGGCCACTGTCCTCTGGGCCATCAGGTCCCTGTCCTCTGGGCAAGGCTACTCTGAGGTGAGCCTGTCCTACAGCCCCTCCTGACAAGAGGCAAAGGCAAGGCCGGCCTGTCTGCCACCTCCAACTGCAAAACCAGAGCGGACTTGCTAAGCTACAGCAAACTCACAGTGAGTAGGCCTCTGTGGGTGCGCGAGAAGCCTCCACAGCTCCTGCCGGCAAGTCCCCAGGGCAGCCCAGTCCCTGCCCTTCTCAGCATGTGCCCTACAGCCCAAGGGCTTCTAGGCGCCCTCCCGGAACCCTCCCAACATACTCCCAGTTTTTGCTTAAGCTAAAGACAGCTCAAGTTGGTTTCTGTTATGACCACACAAATCTGATGGAGACGGGAATGCAGGAAGTCCAAGTATGAATTTAAATGCACCCCACCCCTGGCCCAAACTGCTCTACCGACACTCTCTCCTTCCCCACGACCACCTCCCCGTTTAGCAAGTCAGTCATGCCTTTCAAGTACACCAGGAAGACCCCAGCACCTGCTCCTCTAGCCCTCGCACACTTCAGAGCAACCACCAGGAAGCGTTTCTGGAGCCCCAGACCTTGGCACAGTATCCAGGACAGAAAATATTTGTGAATCAAACAGCTTCCTCAGGTTCCATCCAGGAAAGATCCCTCCTGACAGTACTGAAGACAAGATAGAAAAGGATATGCCCCAAGTTCCAAAAAAAGTAGAGGGGAGCTGATGGAAGGGCCCCTCAGAGAGCCATCAGGGCTTCTCTACCCCTGGCCTTTGAAGAGTTCAATCAGTAGCCAGGGTAAAGACAAAAAGGCTTGCACAGCAAACCTTCCCACGATGGGAAATGAACAGGAGTGAAAAACATGTTCTGTGATAAAGATCTGGACCTGTAAGGATGGGCCAGGACGTGCTTGAGTCTAACACAAAATTACTCACATCCAAGATGGGGGAAGGCATGGCTCGGCAGCAGCACGGAAAGGAAAAATGGGGGTTTCACTGCTAGTTCAACCCATTAGCCAAGGGCATGGAGTCTGAGCCATCGCAGCACGGACAAAAGTGGTGCAGACAGAACAGGACTTTGAGTCCAGGTCCACTCCCCCTTCATCTGGCAGCACCTTCACCCTCTTCCCCTCTGTTTCTCCATGTGTGAGACAGGAAGAGTGGCAGCTGAAGAGGGCGTTGGAAGACCGCCTGAGGTGAGAGTTTGGGGCCAAGCCTTGGTGGCAGGAGTCCTGTCCTGCAGGGGCTGGTCTTACTGTCCCTGGAGGGTAGCCTGCAGCCTGAAGTCCACCTTCTGAAGGTTCTTTTTAACACTGAGCCTGTGATCTCCCTGGTTCCCCTCTCGTAGAATGTGCCCTCCATCCATGAGACTGGGCTGAGGCAGCCATGTCCATAAGTGACCTTGCCCCACTGGCCACGCTGGAAATCTGACCCAGGCTTGGGGCCAACTACTAAGCCAGACTAAGTAAGAGATTCAGGTTGACCTCAGGAGTCATGGGAAGGTCATACCAGAATGGCTGTGCAGGTTGAGAAGCAGAGAGAGAGAGACAGAAAAAAAGAGAAGAGAATGTGGAGACCAGACCAGCACAGAGCCGGGGAGGGAGAATGTGGCTTCCTCACCAGCTCTCAGAGGCAAGGGCTGGCCCTTCCTTCCTGATCCTGCCATACCCATGACCCTGGGCTCCAGGAGACGCCGCAGGTCCTCCCAATAAAACTCCCTTCCTTTTGTGCTTACGTCAGCTCAGGCTGGTTTTTGTTCCTTGCAACCAGAGTCCTGGCTGACGCAAATGTCACCAAGTGGGGTCATGTTTTGGGGAAGGGGTCATGGAAGGTGAAGAAAGGTAAAGTGTCGGAGAATAAATTTGGGGAAGCTCCGAATAAAGCTATAAGAATCAAGTCAATGTCCAGCTTTTATGTTAGCCACTCTGGAGCAGAAGGTGGCCCCTGAGCAGGGCCCAGCAAGACAGAACCACCGGTGAACATGTGGCCACCAAGAAGACATTCCAACCTCACTCCTAGTAGCAGCAGATCATCTCCAAGACCCCTCCTGGCTGGAGATGAAGGAGTGCAGGCCTCCTGCAGGCCTCAGGCAGGGCTTCGGCACCACACACCCACCTGGAACAGGCCTCTGCCTCCAGATGCTGAGTGCAGTGAGGTCCCGTGACCCAAACTCCTCCCCACACACCCTCGTTTTCCAGATGGGGAAAATAGAGGCCAGAAATGAGTAACCTGCTGGAGCTTCCCCAGCCACCCTGAGGCAGGGCCAGGCCGAGACGGTCACTCACACTCCCTCAGTCCTCGCCCCACCCGCTCTGGCTGTGCCCAGAGCCGGGGCTGCCCTCGGGAGAGAGCATCCAGAAGAGAACCATCCTGCTATTCACTATCCCCGGGGCTTGTTCATATGTAACTTTAGCCTGCGTCTCCTCATTTGCCCACTCTCGTGGGGTCTTCCGCAGCTTTCTTGAGGCCACACTCTCCCCTCTGAGCCGCCATCACAGAAACATGCAGTGGGGTGACACATTCGGCAGGCTCCCCACACATGCCTCTCTGGGAACTTTCCTATCCCAGTTCCCAGAGATCTGAGTCACAGTTTCCAGCCAAGAGAGGCAGGCTTCCACTGCCTGCCCGCCACCCGGAGCCGTGTCGTTGCTTCAGGAAGCCCTGTCCGCGTCACTGCCCTGGCTCCGAACAGCACGGTGGCAGGCCCCCTTCCCCACCGGAGCCACCCTGACAGCTCACAAATAAAACCCAACCCCAGACATGGGCGGATGCTGCCGAGCTGCCCATTGCTGTGTGGCCAACACAGTGCCCGGCACAGAACTCAGGAACCATCCAAGAGGAAGCTCAGGCCCCAGTGACCATCCAGGCCACACCATGCTGGCATAGGAAGGAGCTCGATGAATGGTCACCAGGTGCACAAAACACATGCTGACCTGCAGCCACGGAGGGGGGGCAAGCTGACAACCTCTGCTTCACCACCAACCCCAACCTTGAATTAAAGTTTAGGTCTGGGCCACCATGTCAGGAAAGCCAAAGCCACCATACCCAGGTGAGCTGTGAACTTATTCTACGGCTACTGGCTTTGTCTCCCAGCCAGGAATCCCCTAAGAACTCAGGTTCTCAGTTCCAGAAAACATGCTCAACAGCCCCACAGCTCATCTGACGGGTCAGGGACCCTCTTGCTGGACTGGGCAGCCAGGCACACTTTATAGAAGGGTCGGGGAGACCCTGGTTAAAAGAGCCAGGTCACTCTGTCCACCTGCACACTTCTCACACAGCAAATATGACCAGAAGCAACCAGAAGACCCTCAAAAATCACAGAAACCCATGTTCCAAAACTACAGACACAGGTTTTCTGGGCAGAGGCAGTTCTAGGGGTTCCGGGGAGCTTCTTACCCAAGCCATGGGCTTAGAGGCTAAACTTCCCCGTGGAGTCCCACCCCCTACACACACATATCAAGGGACTCTCCACGGCACTGGCCACAGCCAGAGGGCTCAGTTCCCCAATCCCAGAATCCAAGTCTCTGATACTTAAACCACCTCTCCTGTGGCCCGAGTGCAGCCCCCTCTGCACACACCCACCTCCCTGACCGGACTGCGGGCTCCTTCCAGGCTGGACCTGTATCCTACGCACGTGTCTCTCTGTCTCCAGGGCTTTGCAAAGCCCTGGGGCACAGTCCACACTAGTAAGGGTGCAATCCGTGAGTGTAGGGAGAAGTCGGCCCGAGCTGCTATCAGAGTAAGCGGCCATCTGCTGCCACATTAGTAGCTGAAGTACTACAGTCACTTGATAACTAGACTCGTCGAGACTGAAACTGTCAGTGCCTCTAGCTTACTTGCCCAGCTTCCACATCCTCCCCTTGCACACAGTAGGCGCCTACCAAGTTTTGTTAAGTGAACGAATGAAACAAAGGAATTGAGATGTTAGCCTTGCTGGGATTCCCAGGCACCAGCACCATCTGTCCCAACGACAGACTGGATCAGAGACAGGCGCTGGGCAGTGCTGGCCGGGCCGAAGCACAGCTGCGGCAGACACGGTGTGGTCGTGCACGGTGGGGTGCTGCAGGGAAGCCGCGGCACGCTCCGCAGTAGAGTCTCCAGCTGCGCCCGGCATCTCCTCAGGACATGGCACCTGCCTCGTTCACCGCCTGTCTTCAGCAAACACCAGCCGGGGACGTATTGGGTCACAGGCCCCAGAGGTTCACAGAGAAACACCATGGCTTGTGCAGGAATTCCAAACCTCGATGCTAATGCTTCCTTTTAGATTTCCCCAGGAGCCCCACTTCTGAAATACTGTTTTTTTTTAATCAAGCAAACTGTGTTTATTAATTAATAATTAATTTCCTTATTTTCCTTTAATAAAAAACAACCCTATCTGCCAATGACAGATTTCTCACCAGCAGGAGCTAAGAACCGCTTTAACCACCGGCTGTAGAGGATTCCAACCCAAAGCAAAGGAACCTGACATTTAACTTTGTCTGTGTGACGTGATAACAGGTAAAGGCAGGATTTTCCTTGATCCTCCTAGAAACAGGATTCCCGAGGAAGACTGCTGAAAACCTGAACCGACCCTGCCTTGTGCAAAGACACTAAGCCCCAGAGATGCTAAACGTCTTGTCCAAGACGGTCAGTCCCGGGAGGCCCGGCCCAGGCAGGTCTCAGTGGGACTAAACGCGAGGCGGCATTTGGTAAAAGGACCCGTGCTGCCGCCACTCTTCTTTCTAAGCACAGAACCGAGGGTAAGCACCACCTCTCCTGCCACCTCCCTCCTGGCCCTCCATCCTGCACTCTCCGCCTGGTCAGCCACCAACGGGAACCCTATGACCAGAGGCATACCTGCTGCCGCTCCACTGGGGTCAGCGTGGGCGAGATGCCAGCCGGCCTGCCGGCGTCCATGCTGTTCTTGGTCAGGGCGAGCGGCTGCTCCAGGCTGAGGCTGGGGAGGGACGTGTACAGGTGGCTGCCGTGCAGGCTCATGGTGGGGGCCACGGCACGCTCGATGGGGCTGCGGCTCCGTTCCCGGGGGTCTTTTCGGCAGTCTCCATTGGCAGTCTTGTTCCTGAAAGACAGGAGAGAGCACTCAGATGGGACGCCAGCCCTGTGCCGGGCGCTACAAGCTCATTATTTCATTGAATTCTGCTCCCTGCTGGGGATAAATATTTATCGTCATTTCCATTTCCTGAGGCTCAGGTCAAACAGCTCACCAGGAAGCTGAGGAGCCCCAGCACTACACCAGGGTCTGAAGTCGGCTCTGCAGGGCCATCCGAATGAAGGTGGCAGCCCTCTGCTCAGCATGCTGCCCCGCGCACGGCTGCGTGCCTATCAGAGCCCTTGTATGAGAAACTCTACGTGCTCAGAGCCTGGAGAACTAGCCTATGCGCCTGATGCCAGCTTGGTTGGACAAGGATCTGCCATTCAAAAGGATGAAGAGGATGACAACGCAGTCACCGGACACCTCCTGCAGGGTGGATCCTGTTCTGGGCCTCCAGCAGCATGAGCTCTCCAGGTCCTCCCAACAGCACCAAGGAGACGCCACAGCGATCTCCTCTCCAGAGGACAGAACGGAGACTGGGGGCAGGGGCGTGTGGCTGGTAAGGGGTGGCGTCTGCCGTGGCTCTCTGTGTGCAGCTCTACCGTCCGGAACACACCAGCCATGGCAGTCGGCTTCAGCAGAGTCCCAGAGACCTCGGCCACACGTGCAGCACCCAGCAGGTGCCGTGTGCACATGGACGGGCTGCCGACCCCAACCCTCCTCACAATCTGAGCTACTGCGGCTCAAGGCAGCATCCTGTGCGGCATCTGTCAGACAATGACTGGCCAGGCACAGCTGATCAAAGCCCAGGAACACCGGGTCAGCCCAGCTCCCTCCTGCCCTGTTCTGCAGGGGTTCTTTCTGCCTCGGGTCTCAGCCTCTGCCATCTACCATGTTCTCAGCTGCCGGCACAATCTTATTCTCAGAACAAATGAGAAGTCTTTTGACTAGGAATGTGGCAGATAAAAATTTCAGTGACTTTTCTTTAAGGAATGCAAATTATTCTCAGAGTCCACAAGCAACCATCCTCTTGCCTCAGTGCACAATGTTTTATAGCAGAGAAGCCTAGGCTCACACACTAAGAAAACCAAAGAAAGCAAAAGTCACAGCCTGCCTCTCTGCCTGAATAAGAAAAGAGGTCAGTTGGAATTTTATACACACGGCTGCCGTGTGTATATTTATATACACAGGTGCATGTGTGTGACAGGCATGCCTTCTTCTGTCGTAGGCTCACGTGCACTTGTAGGAAATAATACAGAGTGATCCCATGTGCCCTTTGCCCTGTTCCCCCCGATGGCGACATCTTGGACAATTACATACAGTGTCACAGCACACCCAAGCTACAGACAGACAACCGGCCAGCCTGATTCACACGCCCCGCATTACTTGTATACCTCCGGCATGACCTCTTTATAAAGCGGATCAACCCACATCCCACCCTGAGTTACAAATCTCAGTAGCTCAGCACCCCTTATAGAGGCCTTTCCCACTCTGGTCCTGACCACCTTTCTATTGTCATGCCCCCAACCGTGGTGCTCTGCAGTTACAACCATCTTCCTCCATTTCTCAAGTAAGATGCGCCACTTTCAGCCTCTAACTGTGTATTTGTGCCCCCCCCATGCACCACTCACTGCGGACCGTGCCTGCTGACCTGCCTAGGCGGCTCTGTTCTCAATCCCTGAGTGCCCCGTGCACACCTTTCATAAAAAACCCATCACACCATTACCAACGTCTTCATCTGTGCACTGCCCCCAACCTCCCTGGGGGCTTCTGGGGACACACCAAGCCCTGTGCACCTTGTGGTACCTTCCCCGCCCAGCATGCTGCCCTGTGTGACAGGCCCACAGCAGGCAAGAGTGAACACAGAGAAGGAGCACACAGGTGACCGGGAAAGGAAAGGCAGGCACTGTGGTAATGGAACCAAGGACGAGCAGAATCGGGAAGTGAGGGCTGAGGAGCCAGCTACAGGGGTGTTGACACCCTTTGGACGTGGGACAAGCTTGGATCAATACGGGGGTGGGGGTGAAGCAGAAAGAGCACAAGACGTGGCGAGCTCTGTGAGCCCCAAGCTTTGGTCCTCCACATCATCTCTCGGGCAAGCCAGGGAGCCCGGCATCCTCATCTACCTGTGGTCACAGCAGAATATCCCTCAAAGGGGTTTCAGCCAGGACTGAACAGAAGACAGACACCAACAATCATGCTAGCCCAGTGCAAGTGAGCAGGGGACATGGTGGGACCACATCAGCTGTAAGGTAGGGTAATTTACTGCAGAAGGTACAGTGTTTAATTTATGGGTGGTTTTTCTCCCTCTTACCCTCTGGTTGACTATACAGAATGACTTAAAAGCAGTTAGAGAGTACACTGTCAGCCTATTAAGACGGTCATGCAAGAGTATGTTCTGGTCACACAGTTTAATGCTACACTGCACACACACCACCGGCACCGCAGCCATTTTCAAAGAATTACAGTACCAAACAAATACAAAAAAAACTTTAATTTTGAAACCCGCCTGTTCGTCATCCCATCTTCCTCTGACGATTCAGAAGACACGACAGGCCTTTCCAGGGAGGGCCACAAGGGCTGCGGAAGCACGTAGCCGCGATCAGGAAGCCCTGCTGAGGAAGTCCCCGCAGCCAGCCCACCAGCCTGTCCCACTCAGGATCGACAGGACTTTCTCCAGACGGGTGTTTATTGCTAAATATACATTTTCTCAGACTAGGAAAAGACGACATCATCACAATACTCATCCTCAGTATCGGGTTTTCTGCTCAATTTGGATAAAATACAATATTTGACGGATCCATAAACTGCTTCCTTGACACAATCTTCTCCCTGCTCCCCACCCACCAAAACGACGTTCCTGGAGGCCACTGAATGAACAGCAGGCGCTCAGGGCACGGGCTGGTGGGCTTCTTAGTCCCAGTCCACCTCTGTCCAATTCAGACTCCCAGCTTCTCAAGCAACGTTAACTGAGCCCCTATTCTGTGAAGGCTATAGAAAGGAAGACATGGCCTCGCCTTCTTGCAGGTTGGTGAGCCGGCAGGCCAGGCGCGGGCTCCCAAGGGGCAGCTGCAGCCCTGCAGTGCCAGCAGGGCCCTGGGCCCGGAGGGGAGGCAGAATGCTGGAGAGAGTCAGAGGGCAGAGCCGCCCAGGGCTGACAGCAGGAGCAGTTTCAAGCTCAGGCAGCAGCTATCTCCGTCCAATGTCAAAGTCACCAGTGCAGACAGAGGGCAGCCCGCATCCCCCAAATCTGACGTCCGTGGGGTCCTTCAGTGTCAGCCAAGTACAGTGACAGGTATCGACCCGTCAAGCCTCGGGGTGGCCAGACGAGGCCTGGGGAATAGTAAGCCACATCCCAGGGGAGAAGGATGCCCCAAGGCAGCAGGGAAGGGTCGAAAGGCATCCAGCTAACAGGGCAGACAGGAAGACAGGCCAGGGCCATACCCACAACCTGCACCCCCGAAGACCTGCTCTGCACCCACCCTGCCCCCAGGATCGGGAAAAGAGAACTTTGGGGGGGCTAACCCAAAAAACAGTCAACTGCAAGCATGACGCAGTGGGGTGTCATGGATCAGACAAGACACTGACAAACACAGAGAGAAAATGTCTGAAGAACTTGGTGTTCAATTTTAGCAAAATTATACATTACTCACATTTCCAGCTCATTTTCCTGGTTCCCGGAGCTTAAAGACCGACATTGTTTTCCATGTTTCCCCGCTCCTCCAGTGAATCATAGCCCAGGCTCCCCAGCTTCCCAGAGAATCATGTGCTCTCACTGACAGCAGACAGACCACACGCTTTCCACCCGGGAGATCCAAGTCACCCCCGTTCTAGTTAAAGGCAAAGTCTGCTCGTGAAAAACCAACTGCAGCCCTGTCGGGGCCCAGACGCCTCCCAGGTGCCTGGCCGCCACCAAGGCCAGGCAGCTGACTCCGCAGCATGCCGGCCTCTCACTGGGAACGTGCACTCCCCCTGGGGCAGCATCCCACTGCCAATGTTCAAGGAGAGGAAGCAGAAAGGGGGACAAACGTGGAGAGGTGATAAAAAGGAAGATGTCTATTCCACGTTCTTCCAGGACCAAGCGTTCCAGGGAATGGACAGCGCATGCCCCTCTGCCCTCTCTGAGTTGAGAAGCCAAGTGTCCACTGGGTCTGGGGAAAAGTGCAGTGAGATGGCAAAAGAATCCATCCACCACGCACAGAAAGGGCACTGTGTGCATCTGTGTTCTCATTAGAATGAGGTTTTCCTGCCCTTAGATAAACAGGAGCTCGAAGTTGAAACCAAACCCTTGGAAAGGATCACTTGACATTCTGGGGCCTTAGCTGAATTCCATGAACTACTGACGGCTATTAAATAAACCAACATGACCCTGAATTCTTCTAGCAGGGGAGAGACAATGGGTAGAAGACATTTTTGTTGGTGCTTTCAAGGGCATATTCTGGGCCCCAGGAGGCCACTGTGGCTGCGGGTCTCTCAGCCCAGGTGAATGAGGCAGGGCCCAGCCAGCCCCTGCAGGAGCAAACCAAAGGTCTGCCATGGCCTCCTCCATGGTGCACGACAACAGAGGTTCAAAGCAGAAAGGAGCCCGAGCAGTGGTGAGGCCCCAGGGAGCAGCGGCCATGAGAGGAGGGTCACAGCCAAGACACAGCCCTCTTCCCAATGCAGTCCTCCTGCTTCCATTTCACTCCTTACTGGAGCAGTTGCCCTCTGGGAAACCTACAGGACAGTAACAGACCTTTACGGCCCAGCACCAACAATAATAATAAAGTCAGGGGGCACCTGGGTGGCTCAGTCGGTTAAGCGTCTGCCTTCGGCTCAGGTCATGATCCCAGGGTCCTGGAATCAAGCCCCGCGTCGGGCTCACCTGCACAAGTGCACACACATGCTCTCTCTCAAAGAAAATCTTCAGTAAAAACAACAATAAAGTCAGGAAAGCATCTTTTAATTTTTTTTTCTTTTAAAGATTTTATTCATTTATTTGACAGAGAGAGATCACAAGTAAATGGAGAGGCAGGCAGAGAGAGAGA